GTCTATTTTAAAAAAATCTGTAATAGATTTCTGCTTCATAGACTCAGTAATTTTTCGTTTCATTAATGGTATGTATTTTCGAAATACTGTTAAGTCATTGATATTGGAAAAAAAATTATTATCCATTTGTTCAGCAAATAAAATAAAAGTATTTAACCCGTTTAATGCTTCATAAGCAGAAATTTTTGGTGGCTCCTCATCCGATCATCCGGATCACCTTGCTGACGTTCTAATTGCTCCGCTAATACAGTTTCAACAATTTGGTTATCATCAAGTATTTCCTCCGTAGGAATATAAGTACTATTAATTTCTTGGTAAGATTTTATTTCTTGTGAAACCGTTGGATCAGTAAGATCAATTACTAATTCACTTATTTCGCTTTCTTCATATTCAATTGCTTCTAAATATGTAATTTGCGCAAGTTCAACATCGTCATTCGACAACGATGGCAAAATGCCTGTCTTTGTCCAACAATTTACTATTGTCGATTCATTCACTTCATTCCATGAAGCTGCTACATAATCGATAGCTTCCTTAATAGTTAATTTATTGCTGACAAAAAAAAAAAAAAAAAAATTCAGTATTTAATTTTGAGGCGAATCTATTTGCCACCGGCGGTTATGGTTCTAAGCCAATCAGAGTACACGATTAAAAAACCCAAAAAAAAATTTCAAATCAAGACAATTCAAAATTATGCCTATGAAATTGGCTTTTGTACAGGGTTGGGTAAATTTTGTAAGTTACATTTAACTTACATAATAACATATAATTTTGTAAATTTACACTAAGGTACTTATTGTAACTTACATGTAACTTACATCAAAAATTTAAAACTTACACAACATACCCAACCCTACTTTTGTATTTTAACAAAAAATATTTCTTGCATAATTTTCCTATATATTGTGATCTTTCTAACCCTAAAAACAACTTTAAATAAAATCTGTGTACTGTCACTGCCGGTGACAAATAGATTATTTCTTAATTTTAAATATGCAGTAAAATTTACTCAGGATCTCGAATATCTAGTCCTCTGTCAAACTGATCCAGAATATGTTGAATATATTTTTTTTGATATTTTGCCTTGAAGCATTTAATAATTCCCGCATCCATAGGTTGAAGATGCGAAGTAGTTAAAGCGGGCAAAAATTTAACTTGAATATTTGTTGGTTTATAATTGGACAAATCAGGAAGTGTATAAACACTTGCTCGACCTCTACCACGCTTGCCTTTGCTATGTTGAACAGTA